GCAGGACGTTCTATGTATTCCAGGTCCACTCTTTTATAGTCGAAGAGTTCATCAATGTATTCTGGTTAGAATCATGTCTTTGTTATGTGCGTTTCTGAACTGCCATAACAGATGTCAATGGACCCATATTATTTTTTTCCAAATTGAAATAACTTTCGACTTTCAGAACTAAACGCCGTTCTTCTGGAGATAACATTCTAAGTTTCGACTGGATTTTATTTTCTTCCAAATTACTCATTTTACTTTAAAGTACCGCTTCACTATACTACTATAAAAACTAGGCACTTATATACAACTACTACACCCTATCAAAAGAACGCGGGTTGTACAACAGTCAAAACAATCGAACATACATTATTTAACAGCCAATGCTAAACAAGAATAAACACTGCATTGCTTGTGATTGTAAAAACCGTTCGCATGTTCTAAATAAAATTTTTTGATTATTTATTTTGCTAAATTATTAAATAACACCAATACAACCCACGACCATCAATTAATTTTTAACGATAAACAGAAGTTTAATATGATCACTAGTTTGAATTTGATCGACTTTGTCGATAACAGTGTCGGTAAAAGAAAGATAATTTTAAATAATTTTTCAATGATTGTGTGAATTTAATAAATACATTACTAAACAGATTTTTAAAGTGTCAATAAAGATTACAATTATTATGACACACGGTACTCTCCTTATTTTTCCACTAATATGTTCTTGTAAAGGCATAACTTTAATTATTGGGTAAAACCTACATTATACGATACGTCAGAAGAAATTAAAAAAATAATAATAAAGTCACTGTTTAAATTAATATTCCTTACTCGTACTATTGCAATAAAATAATAAAATCAATAAACGATAACTTGCTGAGCAGTGCTGATTGAAACAAAAGAGTAGTAAAATATTATTCATAAAGACGGTTAACAGAACATTAGAAAAGTCATAGTAGAAGTCTCAAATTTTATTTGTATGTTTTATTCGACAATATAAGAGAGATTTATGTTAGTACAATCGAATCAATTTGATTTAAAATATTTCGAAATCTTTGTTTGTTTTTATTATTACTTCTACCTTATTTGCTTCTTTTTGCCGAGAATACCACTCGATGAATTGTTGTATGTGCGATGCATCTCCTCAGCTTCTTTACGCAAATCTTTATGAGCTGCACTAGCATCATCAACATCGCCAACGTCAAAGTTTGTGTCAGTTTCTGTATCAGTTTAGTCCGCCTCTGTTGCCATTTTAACGATTTCGTCATCTATCAGCAATCGATAGCCGTTTTCATCCTCATCACAAATTAACCATTCGTTTATAATCATCTGTAGGCAACTAAAACAAAACAGTTGATTCAGTCGTTAACTGTAGTAGTTACCGCATCACGCTCGCGCTGTCATGAGGGCATTTACATCTTGAGTTGATTCAGGCCATAATTTATTCCACACTCTTTTCAGCGTTACTTCCGAAACATCAGCCCAAGCATTCAGAGCATTGTCGACTGCGTGTTTTTAATTGTACGGTTTCCAGTATTCTGCCAAAGAATATTCCTCTTCCATAACTAGGTTTTGAATAATTATTTTTCTGTATCTTCTTTTAATGACCGATTCAATGACCGATTGAGCCACTGGCTGAAATCGATGATGTTGTTATTCGCTGACAGAAAGAGCACGTGATATTTATATAGTCATTACACAGCATACACGGCTTCAGGATGTGCAGGTCCATTGCCCAAAATGAGAATCGCGTTTGGTGGCAAATTTTTTGCTAGCAGGTATCGCATATTACTCGATCGCATGCCAAACCATATTCATCGATCTTAGCTTGAAAGTTTCTTTTATATTTGTGGCAGTTTTCTAACTTTTTCCAACCAAACCGCTGCTTTCTTTAAATGAAGGATTGCCATTCAACTTCATGTTGAAAAAACAACGCTTTTTCGGCAACAGTCGGTCCAGATAAAGTAACACCTTCGTTTCTTTTTTGAACGAACTTACAGAAACATATTTTTTAAATTCCTTCAGCATTTTTCTTCAAATCATTGATTGTTGTTCTCGGAACATTCATACTTTTTGCTTAAAGAAACAACAGAAACACCTTTCATTAAAAAATTGTTTAAAATCCTTTATAAAAGGTATATACCTTTTATATACCTTTTATAAAGGATTTTAAACAATTTTTTGTGATATATGGTATACAGCCAGCTACAGGAACTTAGTTTTCCTCGTGGGACCTTTCATTAGTTCTGCAATAATTTCTATTTTTTTTTAATTGATAAAACAGCACGTTTCTTTTTGATGGTCAATATGTAGAAGGCTTCGTTTTCCAAAACTTAATTGATCAAACGACTAAGTGACACAATCAATGTTCGAATTTGAATCAAACTGAATTATGGTGATACACAGATATTGACTGTAATAATTATTGTGCTGTGCGTTTTTATTTTCGGCTTGCAATTCTAAAAATAGAACTCTAAAAGCACATTTATCATTACCTATTTAAATTGAAATTTAATCCCGAAACGTGAATAAGAACAAAAATTATTTACATAAAAAAATGCGGTGGTGAAACAAACAAGTCCAACAAAATGAATTGATGACTAAATTTTTACTTATGTAGTCATGGACCCTGACGGTTAACAGAGGTGACGGTTAATAGAGAAACGAATAATCGAGGTTCCACTGTATATGTGTATAGACTGTATATAAAACACTGTACAAAGCGGTTTTTTTTAGGTAGAAAATACTTTACCTACAATACTAAATACGCCGTTATCCTATAAATATTTACTTATTGTACTTAAACTGCAGATTGTGGGTTACACGTTAAAAAATATAGATGATCTGAATGTCTGACTAGTCCTGTATAAAAATATTTTAAGGATTAATTCCAATAACTATTTTAATGTTCTATTATTTATCATTTAATTATTTAGATGTTGTTAATCAATATTCCCAAGGTTTTAATGCATATATTATACAACATAACGAGTCATTTCATTTTTATTTGGTTTGATTAGTTTTGTATTAGTTTTGATTTTTCTATTAAGGATGATACTTGAGACCTTCTATAACAAAAAACAAAAAGTAGTTGGACATACGTTGGTTGTATCGTTAACAATCCATCTGATATAATATGACTTAGTAAAATACCAATGGTGGTTTTACAAATAAACCTGCTTGCCAACATTTTTGTTTATAGAAAAAGTTATACTTTTCTGTTGTAAAGAATGTTCTTCCATTTTAGAGAGTTCTGAAAAACCCGAAATTAGGTGGCGAAAGCTTAGCTCAAAATAAAAAAAAACACGCACTTTGAAGGTACTATTTCTTTGGCCTATATAGGATCGGGGGCAGTCTGCAAAAAAATTTCATAACCTCCGTGATGTTCATTTGGAATGTTGTCTTTAATTGATCGGACAAGGGATGAAAATTTTTATGATATGAATATTGTCTTTATTCTTCTTGGTGTTAGAATTTTCTCCATTTTGTCAGGGACACCTTTGATGGCAAGGAAGAAAAACTTTCGTATGATGATGGTCTGAGTCTTTGGTTTCAGATTAAGTGGAAGATTGATGCCTGTGGATTACGAAGGCGTATTGATCTGGAGACAAGAGTATTAATAACTGAATTCATGTGTGAGGGGGGATGATGAAAGTTGGCACACAAGTAACGATTGGTATGTTTTTGTTTTAGATAAACAGAAATGAAAATCTTGGAATTGGTTTTTCTTCATAATAACATTGAGAAAAGATAGGGATGAATCAGTTTCCACCTCCATCGTGAACTAGAAACTATCATGACTACATAAGATGTATACCATTCAGGTGAGATTAAAAATACACTAAAGCATCCCTGCTATAAGGCCAAATGACGAATGTATCGTCAAAATACCGTAGCCAACATGGGTTTCAGTATTGATGTGGATAGTGCTCGAGTCTCGAAGTCTTCTATAAAGATATTGGCAATTACTGGAGATAAAAGCCCATTGAGGCACCATATACTTGTCTGTAGAATTGATTTTGAAAGATAAAATAAGTGTTAAACATACAATGTTTAATAAGAGATAAGTGATCTTACTAGATACTGTATTTAGTTTTCAGAATGTTTACAGTTTGGTCTATAGGAATGTTTGTAAAGTATGAAACGGTATCAGAATTTACTAGAATGTCTGACGATGAGATTTGGTATTGTTTAAGAAGTTCGATGAAATGAAAAGAATTTTTGACGAAGGATGAAGCATTTTCGGCAAAAGGTTGTAGAGGTTTTGGTCAAGTGCTTGGCCAATGGTTGTGTAGGGCCATTGTATGCACGAACAATGGAACATAGAGAAATATCGGGAATAAACGTGAATTTTTGAGTAGGCCATATATTTGAGGTAGTCTGAAAAACTTTTTACGCGAAATTAGATATTGTTTTATGTTAAACTGGAAGAGAGGTTCTATTAATAATGGGTTTTGTTGTTTTCTCCAGATAGGTTGTTAGATTATTAGGAATTGGTCTGTAGTCTGGAGTATTAATGCGAGTTAGAGGATTAAGGACATATATGTTATGTTTGTTTCTGTGATAAAGAATACTAGATCGTTGGCATGTATATCAGCTTGCAGTGGTTTGGGTATATCTTTTCTTATGTTATTATTTTTCTTCTTCTAGTTCCATGACCGTTATCGATCGTTGGATATCATGTTGGCTACCATATTCGCTATCGTGACTTTATTGACAGCAGCTCTAAATGTCATTATTAACCATTAAAAATAATGTGGGACTTATTACAAACACTTGAGGAGTAACATTCTCCTTATGCGAGAGGACTTATGTAAATTATTTACGTAAAATAATTCAGGATATTACTAATTTATTGCTTCCTTGTAAGTACTATTTACTTGGTCGTGTTTTTTTAAAATAAAACAAAATGTCAAACTATTTATTTGAATAAATTAGTAAAGTCATTATAATCATATAATATTTATTTAAAAATATATCAGGCTAGAATGTTTTGATAATCTTCAGTATATTTATTTAATCTGTTACATGTTCGTGTATCCATGGTAAGAAACTTGAAACTTTGGTGTAAATTCCAGGAAAACCCTGTATTCCACAAATGTTAAGTCCAAATGAAGTTATTCCCTCCTGGTACCAATGAAAAATATCGGCATTTGATCTTTTCATTAATGGCCCACCACTATCACCTGCAAAATTTTAAATTATAAATAAACACCTTAATTTCTATTTTGGATAAGCCTGAAGCATGTTTATAATTCTCTCAATAATTTCCTCAAGAAAATTATCTTACCGCAGCAATTGACATTCCGCTGCCATTGGCGATGTAACCACATTTTGCTTACCCCGTTTCCATCTATAAAGACAGCGGGTGACCTAATGTGTGTCGTCCCTCGGTTGGCTGTAGCAACTTACCTGTAGATGCTGTACTGCTGTAGATGCAATTCCATTGCATCTTTCTTTTAGATACATTCAATTTCTTTACAAGAACTAGAGAAATGCTATGCGATCTCCATAGTAATTGTTCTAGCCAAGAGAAAGTAGGCAAGCTCCAAAATAAGACCATTGTGGTATTATAAGTGCAGACGTCATCCAATTCGGCGATGTCTAATTATAGTTGCTTTCAATATAGTTTCTCTTATCTTTACAGACACTGAGTCAATTTTGATGTGTTGATTGATCTGACGTAGTGATCGTATCCACATTAATTTGCCGATTGAATCCACTTCGAATTAAATCCTAATTACATATTAATTGGTCGCTTACCATTCATTATGAATGCCGCTGCTGTTATCGTACATGCGCTCCTGTGTCCATGATACATTACTGCATCATTGTACCGGCGTCACAATCTACCTGTTGTGAACACAATATGTCAAGTATCATTGCCGAAGGACAGTTCTATGAAAAAACGTTACTGCTTGTGACCACCTGCTGACTAGTGTTAGTACATTACCGTATTTTTCAATAGAGAAGCAGCCAAGACTATGATTCAAAGATTATCTTTTGTTCGGTGCTACCTAAATCTTTACGAAAGTATTTATTGACAACCTTCAGTTGATTTGCGGTTTATTTATTTTCATTACACTTAAAACAGTATTACATTTACAATCTACATTTTACAATATAATTGTAAAATATAATGTTTAAAGTTTAATAAAGTGCTTATTAAAAATGGCAAATTTGCCGAAACGTTTAATCAAAAGTTGTATTTACATCGACCAACAAAAACCAAGGAAATAAAAAAGTGTCTTAATTGTTTGTGTGTATTTTAATTAATTCTATAAACCATGTATATGTAAAAAAATATTTAGTCTGTGCTATCTGTACTGTGTAACTATACCAACTTTTCTCTCACCCGCGGTTTATTTTATTCTCGTGTGTGTTTATCTTATCTTATGGCCCTATGCGGATGAAGTTTTCCTATTCCTTTAAAAATAGGTTAGTGTCTAATTAACTTTCTGCTAGTCTGTATTTAGTATATGTAGTATATGGGAAATGACTCAATACTCACAATCTAAGTCATCATCAGTGGCATTACAGCTCGTTATGAGCCAAGGCCTTTTTCAGAACAATTTTCCAGTCTCCCTTGTCTCTGGCAACCCTTCTTCATGCTTTAATTTCTTTTCTTTTCTTTTAATTTAATTTAAGTATTGATCTTCCTCTGGATCGTCTTCATACTGGTCCTCTTCGGTCGAAATTTTTTCTGATGCATCTTCATCTCGAACTCATTGGACTCCTCCATATATTTTCCTTAGAATTTTTTCTCTCGAAACGTCTAAGCAGTTCTTGCTCTAAGCACTCTGTGTGAGTGACCACGTTTCTGACCCGTATGTTAACACTGGCCTTATTAGTATTTTATACATGGTAATTTTAATTTTTCTGGGTAGTTTTGGGCAATCTGTTTCCTCAAGCCATAATAGCACTAATTGGCAAGCACTATTCTTCTTTTTATTTCTTTGCTTACATTGTTGTCTTTGATCAGCAGCGAGCCCAGGTAGATGAAGGTATCTACACCTTCCAGTTTCAGATCGCCAATTAATAGTTTAGGTATCTGGTTGCCTGATCTAGTACAATATATATACTTGGTTTTCTGTGCTTTTATTTTTAATCCCATTCTCTGTGCAGACGCCTTTAATGATCGAAATGCTTCGATGAGAGATTCCGTGGACCTAGCAATAATGTCTATGTCATCTGCATATCCGACCACTCGTACAGATTTATTAAAGATGGTGCCATTAATATTAATATGGAACTCTCGAATTACTTTTTCTAATGCAAGGTTAAATAGGAGACACGACAGTTCATCTCCCTGTCTCAGTCAATGTTTACAATGGAAGGGTCTTGAAAAGTCATTTTGGATTCTAACTACACTCTCTACGCCTGTGAGTGTAAGTTCCGTTAGTTGAACAAGATGAAGCGGCATTTGAAATACCACCATAGCCTGTATTCCACAATCTTAGGTAGTTTTTATTTCATAAAGTTGGCAAATTTTGAGCTTTTTTGTCAATTTTTGGTTTCAAGGCTTACAATATTTGCCCCATCATCAGACCCCAGTATGTTATTTTTATAGTAATTTTTGGGAGTATATTCTCATCCATTCGTCTAACATGATTGTACCACATCCTCTTACGCTGTCTTCCCCATCTTACTCTAATGTTTGTATTTCTTACCCTGTCTCTTCTTGTTGTGCCGACTATTGTTCTTAGGGTGTTCATTTCAGCAACCCTTAGCATCTGTTCCGTTTTTTGGTACCTTCGCGCACTTCTATGCCATATGTCATGATCGGTCGTATGCAAGTCTTGTATATTCTAATTTTACTATCTGTGCGCATTACGGATTTGACCAGACTATCTCCCTCAGACATCCTGACAGTTCGGATGCTTTTTTGATCTGACTCCTTAGGTCCTTTACTGGGTCGTGTGTGTTTGATATATCTTTGCCCAGATAGCTGAGAATTCCATGGATACTAAAAGTTACCAATAGTGAGGTACTTCTGCATATGAATAAAAAAAGGTATTACTGGTATAATCAAAGCGATTAAAATATAATATTTGGGTAAGGTGCTGAAAAGTGAAAAATACTAATTACTGCAAATCGTAATGGAAGGTAAAGTGCATGGCAAAGGCTCAGTTGGAAGACGCCAGAACTCGTGGACGAAAGGCCCGAAGAGACAGTTTGACTGTTCATCTACAGAAATCTTTCATTCAGCAGTTTCTAAAGTTACAATTGACATTTGGATCATCTACTTTCGAAAGGATATTTCGCAATAGGAAGAAAATGACAACTATAATCTACTAATCCACCAGAACATAGATACTACTAACAATAAAAATTAGCAAAAAGTCAACTGTGTGAGAAGAGCCTAAACTCATGACCGCAAGGAGCTTAAAATAAACTAAACCATAAAGTGCTAACACTTCTTTTATCATCCAAAAATCACCAGGGTTCCCATTTGGCTCGCAATACGTGGTTTATGTTAAACAAAGTTAAAAGACAACACGGCAGATGTAACTACATGATACACAAATGCGATAAAGGCCATTCCCACTTTGCCACTGCGGACATCTACAAACCATCAAACACATTATAGAACACATTACCTCACAAGATCATATGGTGGTAGGTTAGAGGTCTCCTAATGTCAACTCCAGACTTTTTTTTATGTCATGTCTTAGGTAAAATCGTGATACTTTAGCTGAACAGAATCAACTGGTTGTGCTTAGCTTAGTGGAAGACGATAGGTCTTCCGTATTTGCACCGGAAAACGTAAGCTAAGCACAACCAGTTGATTCTAACTTTAGCAATGGATGCCCCTGATTTCGCATAAGGGAAATAACTATCCTGATATATGGATTTTTTTTTTGTTTTTATCACAAAGTACATTAACCACTTTTCTAACACAGAAGTTATTCTTCTTCTTCATGTACCATCTCCTTTTAGAACGTTGGTTACTAAATAGCATGCTTGTATCAACACCATACCAATCTCGCAAGTTCTTCAACCGTGAGGTTCGTCTTCGTCCTGGACTGCGTTTGCCTCATATTTTTCATTGCATGATATTTTGTAGCAACCTACATTTGGGACCTCTCATTATATGTCCGAAATATTCCAGCTTTCTCTGCTTGATACTTTTTATGATCTCAGTAGTCTTGCTGAGACGTTCTAATATTGTGAAGTTTCGAATCTTTTCCACCCAAAAAAACTTTTAAAATTCTTTTATAGCACCACATTTCGAAAGCCTCAAGGCGATTTAGATCGATTTTATTTACAGTCCAGGACTCGACACCATAAAGTAAGACCGAGAATACGTAGCAGCGAAGTAGGTGGATCCTCAATGCCAATTTTAGGTCTCTGTTACATAACACCTTGGACGTCCTTCTAAAAGCAGCTCTAGCCTGCTCTATCCTAGATCTAATTTCGCCGTGACTTTCTGCGTTACAATTTAATTGCTGTCCAAGGTAAAAAATTTTATCAACTTGCTCAAGTTTGGTATTATTTACTTTTATATGCTCCTGTTTATTTATTACGAGTATTTTGGTTTTCCGTATGTTAAGATCCAGACCTGCCTCCCTACAACTCTCAACGACACTATCAAGTAGTGTTTAGCATTGTTAGCATTATTTTTGACTAGAAGCTAGAAGTACTGTATCGTCCGCATATCGCAAATTATCGATGACTTCGCCGTTCACAAGTATTCCTTCTTGTTTTTCAGAAAGTGCTTTTCTGAAAATTCTTTCGGACTAAACGTTAAAAAGCAAGTGTGACAAGAGGCATCTCTGCCGTACTCCTCTTTTAATATTGAGAGCCTGTGAGTCCACACCATCTACTAAAACTGATGTTTGATTCCAATATAAATTTTTAATTATTCGAACATCTCTGCCGTCCAAGACAATGTCTTTTAGAGCTTCGATCAATATAAAGTGCTTAAACACCATCAAATACCTTTTGGAAGTTAATAAAACAACTACAGATATATCACGACATCTTTGAGCAAGTACGTTCATTCCGAACAGTGCCTCTCTCTTTCCAAATCCGTTACGGAAACCAAATTGAGTGTCATTCAGGTATTTCTCGCATTTATTGTAGATATGACCATGTATTACCTTCAGAAAAATTTTCAATAAGTGGTTTAACAAACTGATGGTTCTATAATCAGCACAGGTTTTTGCTGTTTTTTTTTCTTAGGTGGAGCTATAAACAGTGAATTAGACCAATTATTGGGTGGTTGTCTGCTGGTATACATAGTATTGAAAAACGAAGTTATAGCCTCTAAAACATTGCTCATTTATAATATATATTGCAGTTGGAATTTCATCAGGACCAGTCGCTCTGCCATCTTTTGATGATTGTATGCCTTCGATAACAACAGAGCGTGTTATTAGGGGTCCGTCGCAGTTAGTATATCGGGAGGTGAACTACTGCTATCGTCTTCCAATAGGTTTATGACGTAATTTTCCCATTCTTTAAGTTTGTCCTCTACTTCAAATAGTACTTTAACATTTTTATCCTCTAGCAATGCAGTTTGTTTCTTATTAAAGATACCAGCCGCTTCTTTCACTTTTTTATTCATGTTAAACGTGTCGTATCTTTCTTCAAGTTCTTCAATGTCATGACACTGTTTGGCTAGATGTCCAAAATGTCATCTGTCATTCAAGCCTTCTTTTTTTAGTTTTGACCTGCCTTGTAAATTTCTCACACAAATTAAATTTTCGTTCAGTTGTCTTTGAACTGATTCCTTAACTTTCTCGTCGTGTAATTGGGTTGTATCAATATTTTTGCAAGACTTCTTTTTGATCACCTTTTTTAATTTTAATTAGGTTACAGCTACTATGGGATTGTGATCGGATCCAATGTCAGCACCTGGATAAGTATTAACTGATTTGATGCAGTTTTTATGTCGATTTTTTATTAGAATAAAGTCGATTTGGCTCCTAATAATTTTGTCCTCTGATTCTGCATTTGACTTCCAGGTGTAGAGTCTTCTTGGTAGTAGCTTAAAGTGGGTATTCGATATAATGAAATCGTGTTCTTGACAGAACTAGACAAGTCGATCTCCACGTTCGTTTATGTTTCCCAGGCCATAATCCCCCACAATGTTCAAACAGCGTCCTTTTCCGACTTTAGCGTTAAAATCTCTGAGGACTATTGTATTTTCTGCTGCTTTGACAAGATCTAGAGCATTAGTAAGATCTTTGTAGAATGCTTTTAATTTTTCTTCATCACTGGATGATGTTGGGGCATAGACCTGAATTACGTTGGTAATGAATGGCTTTGAACTAAATTTTACTAGCATTACTCTGTCAGATATGGGTATATAAGTTAATACTGATTGAGCTAACTGTTTTGCTACTACGACTGCAACTCCATTATAGTGATTGGCATCGGTATTTTCGGCATGGTACACTTGATGTCCATCTACGTCACATACTCCTGATCCCGGCCATCGCATTTCACTACTTATCTTGAGGATGCTGATTTGCATTCTTTTCATTTTTTTTAAGGCATTATAGATTTTACCTGACTCAAACATGCTTCTGACGTTCCATGTGGCTATTTTGTCATATTAACGATATTTTCGTATATTAACGACCTGAGAGGACCTGCAGTCTTGAGATTGTCCTCTCTTGCTGGATCTTGGGTTCCGAGATTCATGATCAATAACGTTTTGACTTAAATTATTTACAGCCATGATAGTTAAAACTAGGAGTGCCAAAAGGCCTTTAATGCAGTAGTTCTACTTTGCTTTCTGCATCCTTATACCGTTGACTAATTTATAGTTTTATAGTTCTTCCTCCTTCAGAATCAATTTCTCAATCTCAGGGCAAAAGAGTGCCCTCCCACTTACCAACTCGTCCGTCCGAACTCGTTGCCAGTAAGTGGGGGATTGCTTATATGGACAATCGCTCGGATGCCAAAGCCTTGTTTGTTGTAAAGCAGGATGCACCGGATGATCAGAATCAAGATCACCACACGGGCAGGTGAGGTTGATATTTTGACAGGAGAGGCTATCAATTGCGCATCACAGTCCCTTACATCCCTATCCTTACAGAATTAATAAAACTGTAGAGTTCTACAATTAAACTTAAGTTTGTAAAACGCTTGTAATAAATGTAAATGTAATAAATTTACCTTGACAAGAATCTTTTCCTTCTTCTCCTCCGGCGCATATTTGATTGTCATTGAGTTTGATGTTTGTATTTTTAAAAGCTTCAGTACACTCATCTTTAGTGCGATAAGGGAGATCAACTTTGAGTTTCACATCGGAACGACCAGTTTGAGTGTAGCCCCAACCCGATGCTGTAAGTAATTCTTCACTTTGTAAGGAATCTTCATTTGGTTCAGGAAGACAAATAGGTCTAATCGAGTCTAAAACAAATAAATAAATATAGAGTATATTTTCTATTTTTGCAGAAAATGCGGAAAATTACAATTTTCTCTTTAAAAAATATATTTCTGCTCATATTTTAAAGGCATTCTTCTGTATGTTTACCAAAATTGGTATTGCACAATTGAATTGTGCATGAAACAAGTTATTTCAAATAAGCTTTGAATCTGTCGCGTTTCCTTAAGAAATAATGGCACAAAATATTAAATTAAAATTGGAAGAGAAGTGGTTGGCAGTATACTATATGTAAAAAAACCTTACAACGAAAGAAAAAACTGGTGTGAAATGCTAAACAATTTGTATTATCAAAAAATTTAGAACGTTTTCAGTCCTATTTGACCATTACCAGTGAAAATTTAGAAATAAGTATTTCCATGCTTAACAATTAATACAAAGATAAATAAAGACAATTATTACAAAGGTAAAAAAGAAATAATCAACCGAGAAGTAAGAAAAGGAGACACAATACCTCCAAAATTATTTACAGCTGCCCTAGAAGATATCTTTAAAACAATAGACTTAAAGATATATAGTAACGGAAAATACTTGAAACATCTTAGATACGCAGATAATGTAGTAATAATAGGCGACACGTGGAATGCACTGAATACGATAATTGATTAGCTACATACAGAATCCCTATAAAAGGGGCTGAAAATGAATTTCAGCAAAACTACACTAATGTCAAACCAAGATGACGAAACTATGATAAATATCGAAGGGACACAGATAAAACACGAATATGAATATACATATCTGGGTTAAAATTTCAAGGTAAGCAAAGAAAATCAGACTACTGAAATAAGCAGACATGTAAAAATGTAATGGGCAGCATTGTAACCACCTCAAAAGTTTTAGAAAATTCATTATTATTTTGATTATTTTTTTTAATAAAATTTCTCACTAAAAAAGACTCTACCGTAATTCCAAATATATCCGTTAGATGATAACGTTCATTAACTTATCACTCGTCTCGGTTCCTAGCGGAAAAGATATAGCTTCTTTCTTTATCTCTTAAAGTGTCAAACCTCAAAACCAAGACGTTTATGTGGTCTCTTATAAAGGTAAGCCGAAAAAATCCTTTCCTGTTCTATATTTTTGGATTAACATTTATTTTTAGACCCTTATCGGTGAGGCTAAAGTATTGTTAAACTATGTTTATTGTGCGGGAAGTAATATAAGTATGGACTCGGACATGGTATTCTAAACTCAGTTCAATATGTCTTTATGGTATAAATGGACTTATACTCAATGGTTTAATCCAATTAAATACTTAGAGGGTGAAAAGAAATAAATCATATCCTGTTCTTCATAACCACCAGCAGTTGGATAAATCAGATTGTACAAAATTTCATATTTCTATTCTTTATTGAGCAAGCGAGGAATATTTATGAACTTAAAAAAATAGTGAAGCGTTTTATTTATATTTAAAATTATAATAGATATTCTAGTTAATAAATAACTATATTTTTTTGAATGCGAACGAATTTAGAAATATTTCCGTAATGACGTAACTTTTAACGTAGAATCTTTTAATAATGTTTTTTGTTCATTACAAAGAAATAATAAAAGTGTAGTTTTGTTGTAAAACTTTCTTTAAAATCTTATTATATTATTTTTTCTTCTAGTCTCCCTTCGACAATAAACCAGAGGATGGTGCCCTTCAATAAATTCTAATTTCGGATTGTCTATTTGGATTTGAGAAATAATACACAGTTTCTATATGGTTGAAAGAACCACGCCCACACTTCGACATAAGCCACCTGGTCTTGAACATTAAATTGTATATATTTAATAAATAAATATTTTGAAGTTATTAAGAAAGAAAAAAAACTACTTAGAATGTTTTTGCTTACACCGATTTAAATGAAATAAGTGGATAGCGTCGAAAAAATAGCCGAAACAAACTGGAAATATATTGCTCGGAATAGAGATCGGTAACAAGAGATAGGAGAGACCTATCTCTAAAGAGCGAAGATATAAGACTTCAATAACGAAGATCTCCTATTAATTTCAGATAATGTGCGGTCTTCTTCTTCTTCTAATGACGCTACAACCCTTTGTGAGTCTTGGCCTGCTTAACAATGTTCTTCCATTCTGCCCTGTGAGACACTTTCCTTCGCCACTGTCTGATGTTCATGGTTTTGAGATCCCTCTCTACGTCGTCTATCCATCTTTTACGGGGCCTTCCTATTGTTCTGTTCCCTTGGGGCTTCTATCTCTCGACTACTTTTACAGCTCAATTATCTGGCATTCTTCCTAGGTGACCAACCCAGTTTAGTCTCTGTGACTTTAAAAATTTAACCATATCTGCGCTCTGCATTAGTTTATCCAGCTCGTGTTTAATTTTAATTCTCCATCACTGCATTGGGTTGTTCCAAATATCTTCCTTAGTATTTTACGCTCAAATATTCTCAGTTGATTTTCATCAGTGGTTGAGAGGGTCCACGTTTCACATCCATATGTGAACATTGGTCTAATTACTGTTTTGTAAATTCTAAGCTTAGACTCACGATTCAGTAACTTACTTTTCATTAAGTCTTTGTATGCATAAAAGCACTTATTGCCGCTAAGAACCCGTGCTTGTATCTCTTGACTGATGTTGTTGTTGTCATTAATTATTTAGCCTAGGTAAAGAAAAGTGGAGGCATATTTGTAGGTATGGTTGTCTACTTTCAGATTCTCATGTTGATTCGTTTTTGTGCAATCCATATATTTTGTTTTGCTTTCATTTAAATATAGACCAATCTTAGATGCTTCTCGTTTTAGTTCTATAACTTTTTAGCTTAATACCCTTTTGTTGCGGCTTATCATTCCAACATCATCCGCATATGGGCATATTTGCATTGATCTTGTATTAATACAGACGGTTATATCCAGTATAACAGTAAACATGGACAGTCAAAGAATCAGATCGACGACGTATAGACGCCTTTGAAATGTGGACATGGAGACGCCTGCTTCGAATTCCATGGACGGCTCGCCGTACAAATATCTCGGTTCTGGATGAAATTAAACCGAATTAGCGTCTCTCTAGTACCGTTTACTCTAGGATTTTAAAGTTCTTTGGCCATATCCATCGAAGTGATCACAAAATGGAGCGGTTGGTGGTCCAAGGAAGGCCTCAGACTCAACGCCAACGCGAAAGATCTCCACAGCGATGGGCGGACATTACTAAAAAGCTTCTCAATAAACAGTATACTGAGGCAATACATATAACTGATGACCGCGACCAGTGGAGAAATATTATCAATCAAACTGTCCGAGCTGCTGAAGCCCAATTATGAACCACAACACATCTACTAAGATGTTAATGACTGTGATGATGATATCCAGTATTCTAAGAACAGCTTCTAAAGTTAGATTAAAAAGTGTTGTTGATACGGCATCACCTTGTCTAACTCCATTTTCAATATCAAATGCCTGCGTCATATCTCCATCTATTCTCACCATAGCTTTGGAGCCCCCCAGAGTCATTCATATAAGTTTAACCAACCCATTGGGTATCCAAAACATAGATAGTTGGTTTAACATCTTATGTCAATCTACTTCATCAAACGCCTGTTTGAAATCGATATACAAGTTGTAAATAGGTATGTTATATTTAACACATTTTTCATGTATACCTCTTAACTTATGTATTTGGTCTATAGTTGACCTCTTTGGTCTGAAGCCACATTGGTATTCACCAATCATCTCTCCGCAAACGATTCCAAGCGGTTGTATATAATTTCTGATAACATCTTGTAGACGAAATTTAAAACTATTACGCCCCTATAATTTTCGCTTTGTAACGAGACCTTTGTATATAGGAAGTATGATTCTTACTTTCCCATCTTCTGGGATGACTTCTAGTGTCCATATGCGGTCGATTAGTTTATGGATACGCCTCCATAGAGCATGTCAACCATTCTTTATCAGTTCTGCAGTTATTCCATCTGTGTCAGGTGCTTTGTTATTTTTTAGATGTTTTATGACGTTTATTATTTCTTCCAATGTCGGTTTCTCCATTAGTTGTTCTGCTGTGTAGTGGACTTATTTCTTCATCTTCGTTTTGTTCTTTTTCTGGGTTTACCAGCCCTTGAAAATGCTCCTTCCACCTTTTATTATTTCCTCTTTCTCTCTGATAATTGCCCCATTTTTGTCCTTGCAAACTGTTGATTTGGTCATGTATCCTTGGGTGTATTGCTTGGTTTTCTTGTAAAATTTTCTAGTCTTTCCTCTGTTATTATAATCTGTAATTTTTTGTATTTATCTATTTATTATATCTCTCTTTTTCCTTCTACATATTTTTTTGCACCTTTTCTGAGTTCTTCATATACCTTTCTATTAAACCAAGAATCACTTTATACACATTTTGACTGGCTTTATTTTTGCTATTTATTACTTGTTGGCAATCTTTGTCAAACCATTTCTCGTTTCTTTTGCTTGAGGTTTCACCTAATGTTTTCTTTGCTATATTTGTAATTGTCATTTGGATGACATTCCATTCTCCCTCATTGTTGTTTTGTTCTCCTCTTTCATTTAATATTACTTTTATTTTCCGCTGGTACCCATTCCTCTTTTTAGGATTTTTAAACATATATGTATTCCATTTTCCTTGTTTGGCGCCTTTCTCTTTACTTACCATTGATATTCTTTGTTTTATCTTCGATATAACCAAGAAATGGTCTGAATCACAATTTGCGCATCTATAAGTTCTAACTTCCGTTACGGAGGTTGCCCGCCACTTATATGTTAATATGTGATCAATTTTATTAAATTTATTAGTACCAGGTATCATCCAGGTTCCTTTATAAATATTTTTATGAGGGAAACACGTGCTAACAACTCTTAGTTTGTTTGCCATTGCCAACTGTGCCACTCTTATACCGTTGTTGCTGGTAATATCATGTAAACTATGCTTACCAAAGGATTCTGCACCCTGACCCTCTTTTCCCAGGTTTGCGTTCATATCACCCAGGACTATAACTGCATCTCTCTTCTGTGTGTTTTCACATTCTACTTGTAGTTGGTCATAGAATTTATCGGTTACTAATTCATCTGCTGCTTCTGTTGGGACATGGATATTAATAATTGTAATATTATGAAATTTTCACCTTAGACGTACTTTGCATATTCTTTCAATAACTGGAGTGAAACCCAATACTAACCTGCGGCATTTATGGTTTACCCTAAAACTCACTACAAAGTCTCCTTGTCTTTCTGCTCCACATTAGTACATATTGTATTATTTTTTTATTTATGCAACCATGTCCTTTAAATCTGATTTCTTGAAGGGCTGCTATGTCTACTTCGTACTTTAATAGTTCATGTACAATACTTTGCATTTTGCCTGCCTGCAGCATGGTTTGGACATTTCAGGTTCTCAGTCGCAAATCCATAATTAAGTCCTTATTCCGTAGCCTTGGTCGTTGTCCGTTGCTCCATCCGGTTAGTTTATTGTTCGTAGCATTCGTGATAGCTGAGTTTAAGGTGAACAGGTTATCGGCCTATTGCACTCCAGTGCCATGGCTGCTGGCTATAGCTTCTGAACAAGCTATGCTTTCTCCCTTCCTCGTCCGCCCTGACCCTACCTTTCATTGGGGTTGGTTACCCCATCTCCGATGGGGTTGCTTAGGTTTACCGGGGTTCATCCGTGTAATCAAGATCACACTTTTTGGAAGTAAGGATAGGAATTGAGTAGGAGAGGCTAGAGGTGTTATCTCGAAGCAACATCTTGTATTGCGCCTCACTACTCCTTTGAATCATGATAATGTGCGGTTGTAATACAAAATTTCACATATTTATTTGGCTAATAATTTAACTAATTGACTATGGGAATTTACAGTCAACTTGACATGTCTTGCCGAAACATTAACACCGAACAACCCGAAGGTGCACTCGACTCGGCGGGAATTGTTCGCGCATCTAGTTTGCGCATTGTCAGCGGCCATATTTTAAGTTAACAATCACGTCGTTGACACGATCATTTTGAGGTTGTTATTGTCAGACCATATTTGTTTCGTTAATAATTTTATTTTGTGCAATCGTAAATATGGATATACTGAATAAAAATAGTAGATCAAGATGTGCGGCAGTAAACTGTAAAAACAGTTATTCAAATTGTACTTACGGGTTTAACATTTATTTCCTATTATTTTTCTCTCCATCCACTTATTTTGAAAAATCAAAACCGGTGCTGCAGGATCTATTTAGTCAAAGCCGAACCTGACTACTTTTAGATTTATAAAATGGCGCAAGGTCACCGAATTTGTCTGACAGCTACCAATGTAAATTTATTGGAGTGCACCTTCGGGTTTATCGGTGACATTAACTTCAGCAAAAAAATAAATATATTATCTATTTTATTTTAATATACATATATGTTCCTAAAACTAGTAACAGGCTCTAGCTAGTCAGAAGTCTAATTTTAAAGATTTTAGTATCAATATTATCAGATTAAAATAATTGAAACTTCATCACCTCAAATACAAAATTAACAGACTTTAACGACTCAGTATTTGGTTCGTTATTCAGAAGACATTGATTGATATATCTTACCTGTGTATACAACATTCTTACTTAGTTTTAATAGGGCAATATCATTACTTTGAACTTTGAAGTCGTAGTTTTCATGAATTATTATACTTGAAATAGTAATAACAGCAGGATAATTGTTGCAGATTCCATTTTTGTTACAATCACGATTGTATCTTGTATCGTGTTCTCCCAATAATACGTAAGATCTGAAAATGCCAAATCGGATATTATACATAAATCTTATTCAATTTGTAATAATGTTACAATTTACTGACACATGAATTCTATATATCAGTGGTTCTCAATCTTTTTTGGTGACTAAACCTTTTTGGAAAGTAAACCTGTTCTTTATTAATAAACATAATAAAAGTACAATGTAACAGTTACTTATTACTTACTTACATACTAAATGTAATAATAGAAGATATTAAATAAGAACACCTAACTAATGGAAGGTATGAAACTGTTTTTATTTTTCATCAATTGGTTGAAATCAGGTTTGATAGAGGACATTTGAAGTCTCATATCAGGTTCGGCGTGCAGTCTATTGCGGTATTTTGTTTTCGTGGCTGCATATGCTGAGAATCCTGTTTCACACAAATAATGTTGTTGGGAACGGACGAAGAATTATTTTCAGAGCTATTTTGGCAAGCATTGGATATTCATCACTGATTCTGCAGCAAAAATCGTTGAGAGGCGCCGTTTTAAACAGTGACTCCATACATGTGTCTGATAATCCATGAATTCAGTTTCATTTTTATGTTCTGTTCTTCGGGAAAATACTTCTCAAAAGATGCACGCATCGAAGTGAGATATTTGACCAATTCTTCAAATACATCATCTTGGAACATTTCGTCGTTATCGCTAACAAACTCACTGCGTGACGTAAAGCTTTCTTTGTCTCTCTTTCCGACACAAATTTCCGTTATTTTGTTACAGGCCTGAACCACTGCTGTCTATTTACCTTGCAATGATAAATTTAAATCGTTTAGTTTTTAAAAGATATCCGCCATAAAAGACAGTCGGAACAACTAAATTTAATCATACAAACGGTTTTTCAATTTAAAAGTAACTCAGCTCTAGGTTCAAATAGCCTTATTAAAGTTTTACCCCGAGACAAACATCGCGCTTGTATATGGAGCAGCAGTGTTTTTTGTTTTCTGTCATAATCTTCACACAAACATGAGAACAAGCGAGATTGTAGTGGTCGTGATTTGATAAAATTAATTATTTTTACCGCTTCATCCAGTTTTAGATTCATCCAACCTAACCAGTTTTAGATTTGACGTCATTTACTTCATCGCAAGTGCTTGTCTATGCAGGATACAATGGCTGGAACAACAATTAGGAGCTTAATTTTTTATTAATTACAAATGTCAATGGAGTCGTTCCAACTTAGATTATTTTCCTTAAAAAATATAATTATTTTATTAAAAATTTCCTCTCCGGTTCTGTTTGTGGGCAGCGGTGAAAACATAAGCATATCTTCTTAATTAAAAAGAACTTTCATATGGATATCTCACGATAATTAGCAAGAAAGCTAGACCAGCGACATACGTAGACTCATCTATTTGCAGGGCGAATCGTGTTTTTTGTAGAAGTGTAACTAGTTCTTGTTTGGCGTAGCTTGCCAGATCATGAATTCGCCGTGAAGCAGTATCGTTCGATAGCGGCACAGTAGAAAGATGCTTTGCAGATTTTTCATCGAGCATACATTTTGTTATGTCTAATATACATGGATTTATTAAATTCTCAGTGATAGTGTGCGCTTCACCTGCTTGTACAATGCGATAGCTAACTAAATATGGTGCCTCTGAGGCCTTTTCATTGGACCTTGGATTTGGCTCGTCAGTCAAGTGGGATGACCACTTTCAATTTCGTTCCTGTGATGCAGCACTTTATAAAATGTTCTGGTTTCTCTGAAAAAAAATCATGCTTCTAATTTGCGACAATCATGAGTGCCACTTGTCAATTTAGGCAAAAGAACCAGCAAGAGCTAATGGCGTGCACATTCTAACAGTTTCACCCCATTGTACCCACATGTGGCAACCACTGGATGTGGGATTGATGAAACCTTTTAAAACATACTATAATACTGCAATTGATTCATGGGTCAAGTCTAACCCAGGCCAACGTTTTGGAATCTATCACGTGGCTGCATGTGTTGGAATAGCACATGTCCGTGCCATGTTACCACAGAGCGTTATAAATCGTTTCACAAAAATAGAAATATTTCCAGTAGAATCTTAAAACCCACCATCATCTCCCCAAGAAACCAAGAGAAAAGGTGAAAAGCAGAATAATAAATGACACCATAAAAAAGCTTCTTCTAGCAGAAAAACAGATCAATAAAAAAACAAAGAAAACTACCAACTCTAACACTGAACGTACTAGATCTAGCAAGATCTAGCACAGCAAAGTTTTTGCAGGAGTGAATTGAAAATTGAAGATTTTGTTGTGCTGGTTAAATTTGGGACTGTAAAACAACAAGATGAGTACTTTGTTGGGAGAACAATTGGTTAATGTGATGATGAGTATATTGAACTATATGTATTGAAATATAAATAGATGTAATATATATATATATATATATATATATATATATATATATATATATATAATATATATATATACATAATATAAGTACTCACAGTCGTCCAACCTGATCCTGAGTTTGACTTGTTACACAATGTGCAGCAGTTAAGATATACCGTGGACTGATTAGTGAACCTCCACAATTCCATACAATTTTTTTATCTTTTTTTAAGTATCCAAGACGGGCCATCCACGGAAACTCTTTTAAATATGCTTCTGTTCCTCCATAAATTAAACCCTCTATGGTATTTTTATCAGAATCCTAAAAGAAAACCTTTAAACATACAAATTAAACAGGGTTCCTATGATTACCTTTTACAACGTAAACGACTGAATCTGAGAGATTATATTTTGCTTATTACCGTAAAAATTGATAATATTCAGACTACATATTTTTCAAAAAAGCTTAAAAAATTAATTTCAATTCTGCTATCACTAGAATTTGGTATTTCAATTAATTTTTGGTTATAGGAATTAGGTATATTAGTTTTTACTGCTTAATTAAAATAACAACGCTTTTGAGTTGTTTTTTTTTTGAGTGAGTACATGCCTGGTTACTAAATAAAGTAAGCTTTACTGATTTTAAGTAGCTAAACTTACTTAACACATTTACCTTTTTTCTGGTTTTTATATTGAATGTTTATAATGAACGAAAAATGGTATTACAAATGTAATTTTATTGAAAAAAATATAATTCTTGATCATTAAGAAAAATACACCCACGGATGTAACCGGTAGCTCTAATGAATATTTGATTAAAAATGCCGATTACACCTATGAGTGTCCCAATTCAAATTTACAGTAATTTTGGCGATATGGCCTTAAAAAACAAAAACAAAACACTTATATCACTAGGGCGAATAGGGCGAAAACATAAATAGTGGCTTTTCTTTTATTTTGTCATTACTACTCTATTTGTTGACATTCGGCTTATATGATCGTTCCATTCTACTCTTCTATTTCTTACCCAGTTTTTCATGTTCTCCACATTGCATTATGTCGTATATAGCTGTACTTCTAGCTCTGTCCCATAGTGTCTTACCATCAATTTTTCATCTCGGTGTTTTCATCTCTGCTGTTTCTAACATCCTTTTTGTCCTCTCTGTGTCAGGTCTTGTTTCTGCCGCGTATGTCATTATTGTTCTGATGACTGTTTTGTAAATTCTGCCTTTCGGTTCTTTTCCGATATTTCTATTTTTTCACTTCCTCTCTAAACCATGTTTTCTTTTTTTATATGTTAGTGTTCGTTACTTTCCTCTCTCCAACTGATTATGTTGCTGCATTAATTATATTATTTTGAGTTTTTCTCAGCTTTCCTCGATGTTATCGTTTTCTAATATTTCATTCCCATCAATCTTCTCTGATATTCTTTTCCTGTATAAGTATTACGTCGATTCCGTATTTAGTCCTTCGACTTTAATTTTTGTTTGTCCTGGCGCCGCTCTCTTGGGTGGGAAGTATTTCAGCATTAATCTTATTTTAGATAATACTAGGCTATGGTCGCAACTTACATCTGCTGAGTTCAGGCCTCTTACGTCGATTATTTTTGATGGATGTATATGTTTGTTGGTTATAACATAATCTATTATAGATCTTTGTCCACAGGTGTTATTAAATATATATTTGTATTGGTCTTTGTGGTCGAAAAATGTGTTGTTAATTCGTAGTTCGTTATTCGTGCAGAAGTTGATCATCAGTTGTCCATTTTCGTTTTTAACATTTTTGTTATGTTTTTGTTTGATACTGGGTATTACGTGATTGCCTGTTTGAGCATTAAAATCCCCCAATATTATCATTTTTTCTCTGACTTGATCTACTACTTTTTGTAATTGGTCGTAAAAGGCTTCCCTTGTTGTTTGGAGCTTGGAGCTTCCCTTGTTGTTTGGAGCTTGTTTTCTGGGCCGTATACTCCTATAATGTTCAGGTCTTCCTTCTCCATTAGTATCTTTGCTGTTACTATTCTTTCTGATATACATTGACACTCTTTGATGTGATTTTGGTACCTTTGGTGTATTAGTAAGGCTACACCTTCTTTGGCTCTGTTTTCTCTTGCTACTCCACTCTAGATTAGTATGTATTCACCTAATTTCGATTGACCTTTTTCTTTCTTTTTGATTTCCTGTAGAGCACAAATGTCTATTTCTTTCTATTTCAACACTTGGGTTACTTCTTGGTCCCTTAAGTTGAGTAATCTGATATTCCAAGTAGTAATTCTAATCTGGGTTTTGGATGTTTTTCGCTTATCCTTATTTATTGCCGTAGTCGTCTTCATAGTATCAATCCGGTTGCGAATATGTACATTGTTTCTTTGAGCAGTATTTGTCTTGACGATTGGTAGGTTGCTAACCTTGCCAATCACACCTCACATTTTACCCTTTCTTTTTGGTTTCCTGTAGAGCACAAATGTCTATTTCTTTCTCTTTCAACACTTGGGTTATTTCTTGGTCCCTTGAGTTGAGTAATCTGATATTCCAAGTAGTAATTCTAATCTGGGTTTTGGATGTTTTTCGCTTAACCTTATTTCTTGCCGTAGTCGTCTTCATAGTATCAATCCGGTTGCAAATATGTACATTGTTTCTTTGAGCAGTATTTGTCTTGACGATTGGTAGGTTGCCAACCTTGCCAATCACCCCTCACATTTTACCCGGGCTTAGGACCGGCCGTGGTAACCGCAGAGCTACTTAATTTCCCCGCAATAACCCCAGGCAGTTAATTATGCTGGGTGTTATATTCTTCGTTATATTTAGCTTTCTTGTACTCTATTTCTGTAACGATGTGTTCCAACTTATAACAGCTTTTTAATGGTTTACTTACTGATCTCTTTGTATTTTATTTGAATCTGAATCCATCATTTTTTCAATATTTTCTTGTATTCTTTTAACATTTGGAATCTAAAGTCGCTTATTTGCTCTCACTAATTTTGGCGTATCCTCTACTGTCAGTTTCTTTAATTTAATATTAAATTGTGTTAGGTTCGTCACTATTAACAAATATTAACTTAGTAAAGAGATATCTTATCATATCCTCTACTTAATATATTTTTCTTTTTAAAGCAAATACTTCGTATTGAAAATATCGTTATTTACAACAAAAATAATAATTAAAATCAACACAATATTACCTGTAAACCACAAGTACTTCTATCTGGAATAGCTCTACTCCTAGTAAACTGAACAACTTCTTCGTTATTTTCTGAGAACCTAGATCCAAGGAATTTAACTCGAGAGCCACAACAGACCAAAGGCTCTGTATCATATCCACATTGCGACCGTTTTATAAAACTGATTTCTGATCGTTGTTTACGTTTAATGGCTTCTAGAAAAAGATTGCACTTGTAAACTGATATACAGGTAGCACTTTCTCCAATTGGGGTCGTGCATGACTCTCCACGTTCTGTAAAAATTAATTGTGAATAGTTAAGCTTATAGATAAAACAAAATCTATATCAAATATACACGCTGCGCTAAAATTAGGAAAAACCTGCAAAAATACAAATGGCTAAAAAAATTAGTAAAGATATTAAATTTTTTTAACCCGCGATCACTGTCGATATTAGAAAAAATCTAACAAATTCGAATTAACCGTATATTTTTTATTTTGGGCTAGTTATGATTTAAAGCTTCTAGATATCCCTGGTGACGCTTTGGATATATCGCATTTTAAAGCGAAACAATGGGTTGGAGTGGGAGGTGCGGACTGCGCGGTGCACGTTGGATAAAATCTAGGTTGTTGTTTATTTCGTGTAGTCTGTCGAGATTATTTACGCTCGTCTTTTACACTTATTATCTAAAATGGATGAGAAAACACAAGAACAATTGATAAAATGGTTCGAGGAGTGTGAGAGTGATGTGGAAATGGATAATAACTCGGATTCAGATCCTTCATCTGGGCATAGTGAACACTGTTCCGATACAGAACAATCTGGGTTGAGTGAAAGTGAGGAAATAATTGAAAGTGAGCCGATTACATTCACAAGTGCTTCAAATATAACTATTTTGCCAATTGATGTGCCAATCTCTAGAGGAAAAGACAAAACAGAGTGGCTTCATCACAAAAGAACTGATCTCAGAAATAAAACTTCCCGGCAACATATAATTACGAAGTTGCCAGGCGTAAAAAATGTAGCGAAACGATATAAAACAGCTCTAGATTGTTGGAAATTTTTTTCCCCGATGAGATAATTTCTTATATTGTTGATTGTACCAATCAAAAATTAGATAAAATAAGGCCATCATACAATAATTCAAAAAACTGCGCGCCAACCGATTTTATAGAAATTAGTGCATTCTTGGGTTTGCTTTATCTGGCCGGAGTCAAAAAACCTCAGCATTTGAATACCGCAGAGTTATGGAGCACCGATGGATTCGCACCGGACTTTTTTGCGGCTACATTATCAAAATATCGGTATCATATTCTGGTTCAAGCTATAAGATTTGACGACAGCAATTCAAGGAAGGAACGAGCAAAATTTGACAATTTAGCCCCTATACGTCACAGTTTTGATGCCTTTTTTCAACAATGCTTAAATAATTACACAATTAGTGAATACGCAACAATTGATGAAATGTTGGAAGCATTTCGGGGTAGATGAAAACTTAGACAGTATATTGCTAATAAACCGGCATAATACGGGATTAAAATATATGCGCTTTGTGATGCTAGAATGTTCTATACATCTAATATGGAAATTTATGCTGGCACACAACCCGATGGGCCTTTCCAAAAGCCCAATGATACAAGTAGTGTAGTAAAACGACTTATTCAGCCAATTAATAACTCAGGAAGAAATGTTACTATGGACAACTATTTTACATCGGTTCCTCTAGCCAATGATTTATACGAAAACCACAGATTAACTATAGTAGGTACAATACGAAAAAATAAAGCCCAAATTCCTCCAATGCTACTGGATGTTAAAAATCGGCCAATAAAAAGTTCCATATTTTTGTATGGTGACAAAGAAGGAAATACGAAAAACCATTGTATATATGCTTCTTACGTACCAAAAAAGAACAAAAACGTACTAATGTTATCAACATTGCATGACGATGATTCCATAGATCCTTCATCCTAACATCTGAAACCTGAGGTCATTACCTTTTACAACAGTACGAAGGGAGGTGTAGATGTCGTTGATCGGCTAAAATCAGAGAATTCTGTGAGCAGAATAAGTAACCGTTGGCCCCTTACTGTCTTTTGTACTCTGATCAATATTGCCATTGTAAATAGCCAGATAATTTTTAGAAGCAATACTAATGTAATTTAAAAAACGAAGAGCTTTCATTACTGATTTAGCAAAACAACTTGCACTACCGCATGTAACTCGTCGAGCATCTATACCAAGGTTATCTACAAGTCTTCGTCAAAAAATACATAACGTAGCTGGAATCAAACCTCAACCGGCATCGTCAACAGCAAATAATGAAAAACCAAGATGCCTTTACTGCCCAGTAAGAAAAAACCACTTTACCCAACATCGTTGCAATATTTGCATAAGCCCAATTTGTAAAGAACACACGCAGAGAACAAGTTATACATGCACGGAATGCACAGATGACGATAATGATGAAAATTAAATCATCGTAAGTTTTTTGTTTACTTACCTTTTTAGCTTACTTATTCCCTTTTTGTGTTTTTTTTTTAGGCAGAGAGGCAGAATAACGTTAAGCAATTGTTCGCAGAGTCTAAGCGAAACAGGGAATACTTTGCTTACCAAAACTTACTTTTTCTTATCTTTTAACTTACCCTTTTCGGTTTTGTTGCCATATTTATGTTAAGTTTGAATGTGTTAAATAATTTAGTTTCAGTTTTTGCTTATTAAAATGAGTTATTGGAAAACTAAAATTGTTTTATTGAAAAAACACTAATGTTAGATAAAATCTAACACCACAGTGATGGTGTAATAAAATTAACGACATTGATGCTGCGTTAATACACCTAGCGCCACGAAAAACCATAGATGGTACATGCTGCTAAATAAATAAGCCTCATAAAACAAGTAACTCTCATTTGAAGCTCCTCGCGCTACATTCAGGGCAATTATAGTAGTTTATGGGCTAAACTAAATAACGATGACCAAAATATCGAAATTTTACCTAATTATTACCGATAATCCATAACATCCATATAACACAGGGTATCAGCTTTTTCGTTATTAGCTAAAGGCAACAATAAAATAATTCCTCATCTTGTTTAATCTAGTTATCATTTGTCAAATATAGGAAAAGGTTTCAGAATCTTACAGTGGCTTCCCACGGTCGGCGATTCTACAGATCATCGCGGACAGCCGATCAGCACGGACGAGAACGCACCGCAGACAGAGCTCTTCCTACGGTCCGTGACAGTATTGTTTGATTATATCATTAAAAGGGCACTCAGGCTTGTAAACATTAATTTCGGCATTAAATTATTTCTCTTTTTTTTTAAATTCTTTATCGAAATAGTACTATTCTTCAATTGATTTGTTATTTGGTTCCATACATCGTATATATCGGTTCCACTTCTTATGCTCTGGTGCCGTAGAATTCCATAAATTTGTTTCATTTTGATACAAATTTAAAAAATCAAAAATAACTTCGTTTGTCCATTCCATTTTTTAGCAATAAACTGCAAAACAACTTTGACAACACTACAGACAACTACTCGTGTCAGCGAATGAAAAACTTCTGACTTGCACTTGTCGTCTGTTAAAACACAGACGCGCTAGGATCGCGTCGCACGAGCATTTACCACACCTTTGATGTTACCGACTCTAGTTGGATAGGACGGACCAGCACAGACGTGCCTGCGCTACCACGGACGAGACCCTTCCCACGGTGCGTGGTGCGTTCTGGTCCGCTTACGTCCGTAATATCGCCGACCATGGGAAGCCGCTATTAGCCGTCAGCGCAGAGAACAGAGAGAGCGCATTCGAAGAGTAAAAGAGAGAAGACGTAAACGCATGGTTTGGTAATAAGGTACAGTCTTCCTTAAAAATTATTTTATTTTAATTTATTATAGCATCTCGAGTAGGTAGGTGGGTATCATTGTATCAGAGTCAGAATTATCATCACTGAAATCACGACTACTGTCTTCGTCAAGATTAATTATTATTTCATCAAAAACTAAATCTAAAAAAGGTTCTTTTTCGCTAACAAATTGTTCGAAACTTTTAGCGTATTTACACCGTTTTTTCCACTCTTTATTTGAAAATGTTTGAAAAAAATTCATCGCAAAAACGATCCACAGAACTAAACTTAAAGTCAACGTTTTTATTGGCCACGTATTTCTTAAGATCTGCCATACTAATTCTATAGGATTCAGATCTGGATGATATGAATGACCACTATTACCCAGTATTCTGTCAATTTCATACACCTTAAATCTGGGTTTATGGATTTATACAGTGCTGTAAAGATCTACTTTTAACATATCTTTGAAACAGGCAGATTGCGTTGTCGTAGCCACTCTTTTATTACATTTTTCTTTGAACTCTAATTAGGACACTTTTCAACTTGCACGTTGTGATAAAAAGCAATGTCAACAACCAGTACACTACGTGGAGGAAGATTGGAAATAAGCATTTCCTGAAGCCATTTTTTATAATTTATGTAATTAATTTCACTGTGATGGTCACCTGTTTTTGTGTTTGATTTAAATATCAAGTAAGCATTTTCACAAAACCGTTTTCACAACCTGCATGCACTATTATCAGTCTCTGACCTTCTGAAATCGGAGCACGTAATCATTCATTGAATTGTCGCTCCAACTTTTCGAGTGCGTATGGAAACAATGAATGTAGGTTTCGTCCATGTATATGATAAGACGCTTCTGTTCTCGGTATTTTTACTATCTTGAAGAAAGTTACGTCTCAAATGTTGGATTTCCGGTTTTTTCATTTCAATTTTTTTAAATAGGTAAAGAAATATTAAATAAGACTTACTCACAATCAATTTAATTTAACTATCAGACGACCGGTTTCGCTTTCTACAATATGCAAAGCATCCTCAGGTCTCGATACAAAGTTAAACAAATGATGCCGGTACTCTATTAAATGATGGATGGTAGAACATGGTTGAAACTACTATGTATTGTTGAATGGAGAACTCAATTTTATTATTGCAGTTGTTTGACAGTAAACGGAAAGTTCTTGAGGAGATTTCCGAGAGGAACTTCCCGTTTACTGTCAAACAACTGCAATAATAGAATTGAGTTCTCCATTCAACAATACATAGTAGTTTCAACCATGTTCTACCATCCATCAATTAATAGAGTACCGGCATCATTTGTTTAACTTTGTATCGAGACCTGAGGATGCTTTGCATATTGTAGAAACCGAAACCGGTCGTCTGATAGTTAAATTAAATTGATTGTGAGTAAGTCTTGTTTATTATTTCTTTACCTATTTGAAAT